AGAACGGAGGAAAGCTGATGAAGTTTCTAATCTCAGTGGCAATGGGAACAGTGAGATTGAGAATGAACTGAAGGCCACAACAGCTGAAAATGTAAGAATCTATACTGAGGAGGAACTTGTGGACATTGAAGAAGTTGAGATATTAAAGGCTGAAAATAGTATTTTGAAGAGAGAAAGGGAATTTTTGGAGGAGTCAGAGAGACTTATGTATAAAGATTCTCTCCGTGTGTGGGATATGCATAATCAAAAGCTTAATGCAATGCGTCTTGAAGCGAATCGGGAGTCTGAAACTTTGGTTGGTGAGCTAGAGAAGCACTTCAAGTTAGAGAAAGACATGCTGGCAAGGCTTTACGCTTACAAAGAAGATAACAACAAATGGGAGCAAGAGAAGAGAGAAATTGCTGCAAAACTTGAAGCTCTAACTACAGCTTTCGAAAAAAACCAAGGTACTGTGCAAAATGGGACAGAAGATCTAACAAAAAGATGGGAAGATGAGAAAACTGAACTAACTCAACAGCTTTCTGCAGCAAATTCTTGGTACCAATACTATTATCAAGTTGTGATGCATGATGAAGAAATTGTCCTCAAGTTGGAGCGAGAGAGGAACTATCTTTCTGCAAAGCTTTGTGCTGCAACACAGTGCTCTGATTATTACAGAGCTTGTTTCCGTGACTCTGAAGAAAACTCCCTCAGGTTTATGGAAAAAAACAATGAGCTTGCTAGAAAGCTTCAGGATGAAACTATTTTGGCTAGTTCCTATCATAACCGTGTTTATGAGCTTGAAGAGAAATGTCAGATGCTCGAGGAAGCCAAAACCAATCTCACTGCAAAGCTTTGTGCTGCCACTGCTTCCTCTGAACTATATCGAAGCATGTTGCATGATGCAGGCTGTTAGATTTTTTTTTTTCTTTTCTATTTTCTCGGATAGGTATATGTCACAAATGAGGAATTGGTTTCTTACATATGCTACTCTATTTTTGTTAGTATCGTCTATAATAATAGATGAATCAAAAAATTTCAATTGAATAGTAAAAAAGATTGAGAAATAGATCCATCTGATTTGATTACCGATGTTTTTATCTACAACTGTGGCAACATCCGCGTGATTTGGTAATACGCCAATTTGTCATTATTAGTAGATAAAAGAATTTCTTTCACTTCCAAATCCCAAACAATTTGATTCCCTCGTTGGAATTTACTTGGTTTGGTACCCTCTTTTCGAACAGAATTATTTGCCTTCACTGGATTTTGATTTGTCTAATATTTTTATCAGTTCTTTGGTTTTCAATCTTTTATGTAACATTGAACATTAGGTCTCTCAAATATAGCAGAGAGATCAAAGTTTGTACGATGCCACCATACCCCGGGTTCGGGGCATGACAAAATGGAAGTAGACCCAGAAAAAAACCAGAGATCAAAGGGGATGTAGCAAACAGCATCAGACCCATCCACTTTTCATAGATATGGTAGGAATATGAGCAAAAGCTGGGAGTGTTAGATTTTATAATCAACACCAGCGATCGCAGTTTTATTTGTCAAAGTTTGCCCTTCAGGACTGCTGAATATGAAAACCATTTTTCTTCGTGAAAGACAGTTTACAGGGCAAATAGGAAAGAATTGAAAATGGGTAAAAGATAAATTTTCTGCTTGAACATGCATATACCACAATTATAAAAATAAATAAAAACATCAGGCACCAATTTATAAAAATAAAAACAGAGCCGCAACCAATTTAGCTAATAAAACCGTTTCATATTAAGATAACAAAAGAGGTTTACAGAAATCTTGGTAAGCTTTCAGCAAATTGATGAGTAGACCCCTTCCTCTAGATGGGAAATATGAACGGCCCTCTAACTATATCAACATTCCTAGCATACTATCAACATTCTGGACAAGGAACTCCCTCGACTTCATTCATTCGAATGCCCATTCGTTCTCCTTACGAATTTCCGCTTCTTCCTCCGGAGTGAAGTCATTCTGGATGTTAAAGGTCTTGCGAATCTCCTCAGGTGTCTTTCCCTTGATCATGTCAGCCACAGTCTGGCAGGATAAATCCAGCAGACTCTTGATGTTCAGATAGTTTGCAGCCTGAAATTGGCGGGAAAATGTTGTTAGTCAAAAGATGATGATAATAAAACCTTATCAATTTCGCATACACAACGACTGCTGATAAAACCTAGCCAATGATGCATATACAATCAGAACCAATGACAGATTACACATTGCAATAACCTGCACAAGTCTCCAGTTACAAAACTTCAACAATCAAGTTCTTATAGAAATTAGCAAAGCTATGAAACTATAAAACTCAAGTTCTTGAGTCCTAAAGATAAATAATATAGCATTATCCACAACAAACAGCCAAGAAGAGGCATTAAAACCCCAATCTTTTTCCAAGTATCAACAAAAGAAACATAAACAAAAACCCTTTTTTTGCTCAAGTTTCTTGCCATTAAAACTAAAATTCAACCAAACATTCAAGAAGATGCAACAAAAACGAAGCACGAACACTGAAAAAGATTTGGTTTTGAGGGACTATACCAAGATTGTATCAAATAGAACAGCTTGGTCGGTCTTCAGTTCGTTGACGAAGTCATCGTTGAACTGCTTGACGGTGTCCTTGTTCTCGTCATTGGCCGCAAACTCAACGTGCTTCCTGCAATACTCTATGACCTTGGCAAGGATATGGCTTTCGACGTTGGGCAAAGGAATTGCATTGTCAACGCAGTCGTCCTCCGCCATATGCTTGATGGTCTGCGATTCCAGAGCCACCGCCTCTTCCAACTCGAAAATCTCACCGTCCGCGGTCTTCAGGGTTATCATCTTCTTCTCAGTGGCCATCGCTCCTTACGGTTTCAGAGAATTGAAAGTGCGAGAGCTTTTCTTTGGCTTTCGCAGTGAGTGAGAGAGTGTGTGTTTGGGTGAATTGGTACAAAGGGTGAAAATTGGGGAGATTTATATAGGCACTGAAGGTAAACCTAACCCTAGCTTTGAATTCTCCCTGTGGTAAAAGGACACTATTTATTTTTATTTTTATTTTTATTTTGTTTAAATCCAAAAAGGATTTGGAATTCCCTAATTTATGCGGAGACGCGACGTCGTGTTTCGGAAGGAACTTAGTGTTTTTTTTTCTCTCCAGTAATTCTTTCTTGTTTCCGAAAAGGATAGAAGATAAAAGAGTTATGGAATGTTCCAGAATTTTCATGGTTAATAAATCCTATTTCTTTTTTCATTTGCCATTAGAGCATCTCCAAGCGAAATGTCAATTCCAACTTTGCAAGTTTTAACCCCAAAAAAAGACATTTTAAGCCTTCCAACCGTGATGCCAAATCCTAGCTGGATTGACGTCCTTCACTTTTGCTGTCAAAAATGACAGCCCACATGTTGAGACGTCTTTTACTTTTTTATATTATTTTAATGCTGGGCCCGTTCCTTCTCTCCTCTTCCATGTACAGTTTTTAACCCTATTTAATATTTTACTCTTAAATACCGAGCCCACTTGCTTTTAAAAATAATAAAATAAAATGTATATTTGACATCTCAGTTGGATAAAGAGTTTTACAATATGTTAAATAGCCATATCAGCCATTAAATTTAAATTTGATGTTTGATATTTGACATCTCCTTTGGAGATGCTCTTAGGAAACAGTCGGGTCAAAAATACAAGACCATATTGGAAATTGTGAACCTTTTTTTTTTCTTTTATACTATAATTACTAAAATAGCCTCAATTGTATACGTATTATTCTATCCACACAAAAAACAAAAATATTGTATACATATTATTCCGCTTTTTTCAATTTATAAAAAGTATAATTGATATTTCAACCAAAGAGACTAACATTATAAAATGTACTACGGGTGGGCACAATTTCTTGTTAACCCGACCTAATCATGAGAAGGTTAATTTGGTTTGGATTGGTCTAATAACGAGAGAGTCTTGAATCCAAAAAATTATAAATTCCTATATATGGATTGAGTTATGAATTGGGACCAAAACTGATTCAACCTAACTTTTGCTCACTCAACAACACACACCCTCGAGTAATGGGATACTCCAAACATCCTTTTCGTTTGAAACTCATACTACTTTCTAATAAATCCTTGGGTTGGTCTAGTGATGGGAAAAAATTTGCAATGGTCAAATCATTCAAGATAAAGAAGAATAAATAAATAAATAAATAAATGAAAGTAACAGCCAACTGTCTTCAAACAATAATAAAATATTCATTTGATGTCTTGCTTTTGAGATGTCAAAAGTAACGCTGAAGGTTCAACCTTCATTCTACATTAGCTTTGACAATTCAATTGGAGTGATGTGAGATGTTATTTCTAGCCGTTAATTGTCTATGTGGCACTTTTAACACATCGGTTAGAGATGCTCTTACATTTTAAAATGGGAAAACTTGTAATGTTGGATTGGAATTTGCTTGGTCGTCAAGTTTCATCTTTCTTTTTCTTTTTTGGGTCGAAATCTTTCTTTTCATTTATCATGGTAGTTACCTTTCTTGTCGTCATTGTTATAAGTTCCTTCTGTTGTATATATGACTATTATATGAAACGAGAAATTGCAGATTTATGTGACTCTCGATATCCAAAGATTCTATATGTAGCAATTTGTTGAAAGAATCCAAATTTCTTTGAAGAAGGGATTTGTTAAATGATGGAATTTAAGCAAATTTGTAAAATGTGATTGTCTCTCAGGTGAGAAGTAAGTGAACACAAGTCTTACAAATAATGGCTACTAACTACAAAGGACCCACTAGTCTAGTGTAATGGTTTGGAGTAATTGCTCCCTTAGGCAAGGTCTTGAGTTCGAGTCCTAGTATCCGTGTAGTGTGTGTGAGTTTAGTATATTATCGCCCCTCTTGATAGGAAAGTTTCTCAAAAGAAAAAAAACCAATGGCTACTAACAAAGTAGCTAGAGTCTTAAAAAGCCTCAAATATAACCAACAAAACCAGCAAATTCCAAGTTTCCACCGCAATTTGAGCACATAGAATTATAGATGAAAACAATTATATATACCTTCTCATATATGACAGGATTCTGATTCTGAGGCCAGTATTTTATAAGACAACATTGTAGATATACATGTTTGTCCACATTGATCCTTATAAAACATACATTAGTAATTTTAAGAACTGCACTCTCAGTAGCTAGAGCCTGGATTTCCCATCAGTAAAATTACTCCATTTGCACCAGGAAAGCCCTGAATATAACCCTTTACACCGATGCTCACAGCCTCGAAACTGGTAAACCTGCAGTGGAACAGAAGTTTCAGCAGAAGAGAACTTTCCTGTCTGGCCTTGACATAGTTTTAAAGACATTGTTACCTAAGGCTTTGGCATTAACAATGCTAGGACTGGCGGCCGGTGGTGGAACATTCTCATTGAGGAATGGTTCTACCTGGTTTGGATCTGACCAAATTGGATATCCTTTAATTTTTCCCTAAACCATATAGTAATGTAAAGGGGGTCAGTACTTTAGTGCCACAGATGAAGATATTCTTTTGAGGCCATTTTTGAATGATGTGAATCTTTTCTCTTTTTCTGTTGCTGCGATTTTTGAAGAGTTAAGTGACATACCAGGACATTGAGAGCAGCCAGTGTTGCCATTCCTTCACGAGTCCACTACATAAACCATCAAGGGACATGGTTAACTCTCTGATCTGAGTAATTCTAAGTTCTGTAGCTTGATAAGATAACAACTTGCTATGTTCTCAAATCAGAAAGGTAGGTCTCCAAACTGTCAGCTTAAAAACAATATGGACCTAAATTACCTTGGAAGCAGAAGCAATGTGAGGTACCACAATAGCATTCTTTAAGTCAGCAAGCCCGGGTTTCATGTAAGGCTCATCCTGATACAACACCATTTATGAACCACTCAAATGTTAGAGATGGTGACCAGAAGAAGACTGGAATTGGGCAGGGAAGGTGATTTTATTTACCTCAAAGACATCCAGACCAACTCGAAACATGGGATTTTGTTTCAAATGCTCTACAAGAGCCACTTCATCAATCACAGGCCCTCTGCTACAGTTTACAAGTACTGCTTCCTGTAAATATATATGTGACATTATTCAACAAGTAAATACCGATGTGAATATTTCACAGTTTTATACAAATAAGAAATGTTCGTTCGAGCTTCACCTTCTTCATGATTGCCAGTCTTTCTTTGTTGACTAGATGGTAAGTGGTTTTATCCAGAATTGGGTGAAGGCTTATCTAGAATGAGAATCAATAACCACGGCATAAGAAAGAGAGTAATAAAAAATGGGGAAAAAAGGTGTGAGGGGAGCAAGAGCCATACCACATCTGCTTCTCGAAGCACCTCATCCATGCTTGCTGCTCTTTTCCAAGTCACAGGCTGTTCACCATTGGCTTTAAGGAACTCGGCATAAGCTGGAACATGGAACATACAGGTATCAGAACAGAGTTTTGCAAGATTTATGCAATAAACTGACTAGACATGCCTGTAACAAACTTTTCTAGCCGTGTAGCCTGGTACAGATCATAGTAAATTAGGTTCATTTTGAAACCTTCAACCTGTTAGAAATCAACAGTCACTGATCAGGATCGTTAGCAATAAATTGTGAGAATCAGCAGGGGATAAAGGAAAAGAAAGTAAGGATAAATCTATGCTTGCCAATCACTAGACTAAGAATAACATATTGGACCAGGAAAAATACCATCATTCTGGCATATGCAGAACCTATACGACCAGCTCCAATCACTCCAACAGTCTGTCCTTTGAGTAAGTTTCCCACAAACCTGCCATAGTAAATGAGACCACTAAATTTTATAATTCATGTACAATGAATGGACAAGCGAAGAATCGATAGTTTTTATAAACACCGTAGTCATACAGGTTAGGAAGCCATCCATCATATAAGCCAGCCCTCATAAATTCATCTGCTTCAACTATTCTTCTAGCAGCTGATACAGAAAGTGAAGCTGCCAGCTCCGCCGTAGTTTCTGTAAGTACTCCCTAACCATAGGAGCAATAAAACCATTTCAATATCCCCAATTTTTCCAAAAGAAAGAAAAAAACTAAAATCCTAAATTTTATTTCATGTACCAAACAGAAATAGCAGATGCATAGAGGTACTAGTTTTCTGTATATAAGGTTCCTGACATGTTGGTTAGTGACCAATGTGCAATGTGCAAGCATTTCTGAAGATATGTGAAATAAACAATTCTTCTATCAGAAACACAAGTATATGAGAAAACTTGCACTATTGGTACCTATAAAGCTACAAAAAAGCAGGCAGTGGAGTTTGGAACATTCACTTTTCTAAAATGAAAAAAGAAAAAAGAAAAAAGAAACAAAAGGGGAAAATAGAGAGTGCAAAACTTACAGGAGTGTTTCCAACAGCAACTCCATACTTGTTAGCAGCATTAACATCAACATTGTTGTAGCCAACAGCCATGTTACTGAAAGCTTTGCCTCCAGCTCTGCTAAGTGCTGAGAACAAAGTCTCTCCCCAATCTTCTGTCAGCTGAAAAACCAACACACAAACACAAATTAACCACTTTAAATACAAAAAATCCAAATTTTAAGGACACCCAACCAAAAAAAAAACTAATATGCCTGTCCAATAACTCCATCACACTTATCCCCAATCAGAGCAATGATATCCTCAACAGACAGAATTGTTTTCTTCTGGGTACATATCTAAACACAAAAATCAAACATTATCTCATCAAACTCACATAGCTAATAGTTCCAAACAGATTAAAGAAACTGAGAAAGAAAAAAAAGAATATTACTTCAACTCTGCAGTCTTGTTCAATTAAGAGATTGATCCAGCGAGTTCCGGGCATGGGTTTTGTGCTGACAACTCTGTATTTCCCACGTGGGTTCCACACTTCAATTGAAACTGGTTTGGCCATGAAAGCTTGTCAGCAGCTCAAAGGGTCTGGCTGAGGATGCTGACTGTGGAAGCAGAGAGCTCTTTAAATTTTTAGTTCTAACTGTTATGGTATGGTGTGGTGTGGTGTACAATAACATGTAGTCTTCACCAGTAAGATTGATTGAGCGTGTGGACTGTTGAGTTTGTGATGTATTGACCTATTGGTTTTATGGTTTATATGATAGATTGGTGGGTCCTTTCTTTGTTTTTCGTTATGGTTTTAGGTACAGAAATAATATGATGGGCTCTTCTTGCTTTGGAGTTCTTGGACCTCTCGTTAGGTATAAGATAATGATGACATGGCAGCATGGATGGATGACACATAACCCTTTTGTTAGTAGAAGGTGATTAGGAAAGTGACCAATGACATTGGAACATTTTCTAGGCACACGAGAATCCCAATTCTAGCAATTAGAAATAGGAAATTAAGTTGGAACATTTTATGACTGTTTATTTTGTGTTTGTATAGATTTTAGTTTTCTTTTTGTGTGTTTTATTTCATTTTGGTCTTTATTTCTTTTTGCTTGGATTTTTTTATTTATTTATTTTTGTCTTTTATTATGTAATGGATAAATACCAAAGGGATTGACACGCATATTTTCCAGGTATTATCTTTCTATTTTCATTTACCCTCTTAGTTCATACATTTGCTATGCTTTTATATAAAAAATAAATACATAATAAACTTAATAATAAATAAATAAATAAACAGATCGGAACCCAATCTCCAACTAAGGTAATTCCGAATTTCTTGTTTCGCTTTGCTTTTATTACTGTAATTCTTTCTTTCTTTCTTTTACTTGTTTATGTATTTAATTTGTTGTTAAGTTTGGGAAGTAGATTGCTTCATGATTGCACACACGGAAATTTGGCTCAAATACTTATTCATTTCATAAACATGTGATTACATACACAGACGTGAAAATGCATACATATATTTAAAAATCACATGTTTCTTCCCAGATTCTGAGCCACCTGAGGCATCATACTAATTGCCTCTATTTTCTCTTATTTGTAGAATCTGCAAAAGCTCTGCATGATCATTGTTTCTCTTCCACAGTGCTTCTACTTGCTGGTTGGCACAGTAGAGCCGCTTTTGCAAATCCGCCATCTGAGCCTTCAAAGAGGCTACTTCCTCGGTCAGAACTGCGCACTCTCGCGTCCTCGCCAGTAATCTTATGCCCAGATTTGTGGAGGAGGTTGCGTGGAGAACAGTTAAATCATGAGACTCCTCCACCGCGGCCTTGTCTGACCTCTGTGCCATGTACAGATGATCTGCCGGTGTGAGTCTCCTAACAGTCATCCCTCCTGGCAGAACTACTTTTCTCAGCATTGCCTCAGCAAAGTTTGAGGTCGAGCCATGATGATATGAGGAGTTTGGGAAGATAGGGTTTGGAGGAGCACCTACCTGATCATTCGGTAGTGCAAGTGTTAACTCAAGGTTGAGGTCATCAATGAGCATAGCTGAGGATGCCATTGTTTTGTTTCTGGATTATTTGATGGTTTTCCTTGAGTTTGGAGGAAGAAATGCAGGGTACTCCTACACTTAACCAATGAACGGTTTAAATAGACATCTACTGATGAGGGAGCCGACATCCACTTCGGATCCCCAGATTGCTATCCAGCCGTATGCCCTTTTTTTTTTCTCGGATCCCTTCCTTTCACGAGGATTTTTGCGGTCGCGTGCTTCAAGAGGGGAGCATTTTTACTTTCACCTTACTTTTCTTGATTTCCCTCCGCATTTTCTGGTGTTTTATGTTTTTACCCGTTACTTTCATTTTCTGGTGCTTTGTGTTTTACGTATCCTTTCCAGTTTTTGTTTTTATATATATATATATATATATATATATATATATTTTAAAAGTTTTGGAAATGTGCTTTTTTTTCTTTTTTTCTTTTTCTTTTATAATTTAATTTATTTTCTTTCCGACAAAAAAAAAAGTTTGGGCTTTCGTTTGGATTGGGTTTTCAATTGATTTGGAGGTTCCGATGGGCTAGACTTCTTCATCTTTTGGGTTTCGGTTTGCGTAGGACTATTTGTTAGGGTTTACTGTTTTGTTTGGTTATTTTTATTTTACTTTATTTTTATTTTTGTTTTTTAAATTATAGTTTTAATTCTTTTTTTGGTTCTTTTATTTAATTACCTCAAATCCCTTTCATTTCTTGTTATACCTTTGTTGATACCTCAATTCTTCAACATTGAGGACAATGTTTGATTTAGGTTTGGGGGTAAGGTTTAGGAGTTTTGTTTTTATTTTATTTTTATTTTTATTTTTATTTTTTACGATTGGAAACATATGATTAATTTTTAAACCCATAATTTTAGTTTTTTTTCACTTATTTCTATTTCGTGGATAATTCATGAGTTATACTTTGAACTCTCACATGCACATCAACACTTTAGTGAGAATGAAAGAAAAGATCAATTATAGTTAACTTTGTTGTTTTAAGTAGAGTTAGAAGACATTGCTCTTGATTGACCTTGGCGTAAAAAAACAAATAAGTAAATAAATAAAATAATAATAATGATGTTAATTTATCCATAGTTTTACTTAGTAACCGGGCCTCTTGCCTAAACAGCAGCGAGTGTTCGCGTCAAACGGTAAAGTTTTGGGGTAAATACATTTTGTGACTAGTTTAGTTCTGTAGCCTTTTTAACTCGAGTTAATAAGCCCTTAGGGGTGTTTCTACACCTAATGCCTTAAAACCTTTGGTTTGAGAGTCGTTGGCCTAAATCTCGCTACATGGGTTAATTAGAAAGCTTAATGGAACTAAACATTGCACAGTCACAATCAAAAAGAAAAAAGAAAAAAGAAAAAAGAAAAAAAAAATTGTATATATATGCTTTGGTTAGTTATTTGCACTGAATTTTGATAATGATTGAAATAATGAGGTTACTGTGATTGAAATTGACTTTTGTCTCTAAAATGTGTTGGTTCACTTAAACACCAAAGGAAACAAATGAAAAATTTACTAAATGATTATAAGTGATCAAAACTTTATGTGGGGATTAATTTGAAGCATGTTTGCTCTTTTAAAAATTGTTCATGAATTTTCAATCCAGATAGCTTTTGATGATGGTTAAGCATTTGTTTTCAAATTTTGTTGTAGCATAAATTTTTAAACTCTCATTTCGATGTTTGTGGGTATCATCACTGAAAGCCCTCACGAGACTATACTCGTCCACTAGGGTAACCTAGGGGTTTAAAGGCTTGTTGCATATGCTAAATGCAATCGAGATCCATGCGAAAGTGGCTTAGTTTTCTTTTCTACTTAGTTTTTATTTTCTTTTGCTCGAGGACTAGCAAGATATAGGTTTGGGGGTATTTGATGAGCACAAAATTAATACAAGTTTTATCCTTAAATTTATATTTGTTAGTATTTTCTTTTGTTTTATATAAATCTATTAAAGTATTTTTCTTGTTTCTTTCCAATCTTTGTTTTTATATTTAATGAGTGGTTGTTTGTAGATATTAAGTGTCTTCCACCAATAGCATGTTGAGGAAAAGAAGTAAGTAATGTGTTGCAAGAAGAAAGTAAAGGATGAGAAGAAATATGTGCAGCCAAAGCCAAGGAAATTTGCTCGAGACAACTTGTGCAGCAGCAAATGCAATTGAAGATAAAACAAATGAAAAGAAGAAGCAATCAATTGCATTAATATGCTCTAGGACATGCATGCAAGCTTCCATCATTGAAGAAATAAAGAGAGAATGAATAAACAATGAAGGAGAAGTTCAAATTGACTACTTGCAACCAATGAGTGCAAAGAAGAATGATGATGCTTGAGTTGTTATCTAGCTACAATTTGAGGAAAGTTGCTGCAGTTTTTATGAGAAGATACGAGAGATGAGCAAGTGGAGCAATTGATAAGAAGACTCAAAGATCTTTGTGAAACCAAAGTCAAGGAAGTAGGCTAAAGATGAGAAAGATATTTGGAATGGTGAGCTACTTGATTATTATATAATTCAAGACTCCCTTTCTTTGGCTATAAAATACAAGTTTTGAGCAAAGATTAAAGGGAGAGGAGAAACACACGGCGAAAGAAAGAGAGAAAGAGTGAGGAAGAGAGAGAACAATGATGGAAAGGAAAGAACCAAGAGCTAATAACTCTTTTAAACTTGTTCTTCCTTTCCTAGTTCTCATTTAATTTATGTATTTTAGTTTCTTTGTTTTGTTTTAAATATTAATTATGTCTATTTAAA